TCAATCTAAGCAAGCTTACTACCCCCAAAACCCCAGTTACATCCTGAGGACAGCTTTCCGTGAAAAAGATCTGCACCCTAATCCCTAGAGACTGATTGTAGAGAACAGTATTAAGACACCTTGCTGATTCTTTGCCTCTAAAGCTAAAACTCAAGTCACAAAGTTTACCAATCCCTAAACGGTACCTACTAACAGAATCAAAAACCCAAAAATTGATTTCAGAGATGGAAGAAGGCAAGATGGTCTCTGTGGCCATCGGCATTAGACGAATGAACACTACCCATTTGTGCTGTACAAATGTGTCTTTAATTACTATATAAAGCCAGTGTTCGTTTTTTTAAAATCTTGTCAAATTATTGGTATGGGGGGGATCAATGTGGTTCCTGTATGGCTAGCAGATCAATGTAAAGTCTAACGTGATGAAAAAAATTAGTAAAGCCAACGCACATGAAAATTGCGTGTGGGAGAAGTTCTGTGAAACACTTTCTTTTGGCTCTATAATAACTGCAATTGGAAAGTACGGTAAAACAGAAGGCACAAAAGTTTGTGAGAAAGTAGAAGGAGGAAACCATATACCACGGTACACGGTTTCTTAACCTCCACCGAGGACGTTGAAGGTGCCTGTGAGACTTCAACGTCTGGGCTAAGGAAGTCAGATTGTCTTGCCAAAACAAAAATCAGAGGCCGTGGTAGCGCACAGGATGCAATGTCAAGTTAGGTGCAAACATTCTGTTGAGGCTCCAAACAAATCCTAAGTGTCTGTCAGCTTTCCACATCTGGAACTAGACTGCCATCTTGCAGTACCGCAAGGTTCCAGAACCAGAAGGCTGTACCGGTTTGTTCCTTGAATCATTCATTCAACAGTACTGAGCACCCCAAGGCTGGCCCTGTCAGGTGCGTGAGCCCCACCCAGAGGAGCTGTGAGCATCTGGTACTCCTGATTTGGAATTCTTTCTCTTAAGGACCCTCAAATTTCATTAGCTTAAGGCCCCGCAAGACATCCCTGCTACACAGTAAGATCACTTGTACCAACCTCAGTTGAATTAAATCTTCAATATGACAGTTATCCAACACATATAATAAAGCTGCGCTGAAATCCAAGGCCATCTTTTACAAATTTATCTTCGGGGTTACTTTTATTTAAAAAAATGGGATGCTTGCCAAAGACTCACCGTACCAAAACTTTTAATGGAAGAAAGATTGAATAATAAAGAATGTTGTGAGGTGGAATGTGGTTGGCTTGCTTAATTAAACATGCTCCTTTGTACAATTTCCCACGGAGTCTGTCTGCCGAGTCCGGGAGATACTGCCCCCCTCCCAAGTACTGCCCAGAAGTGCTGTCAGGGAGGGCAGGATGCAGGAGGCCCCACCTAGTGTAGCCAGGTGTTCATGGAAACACACCAAGGAATAGAAATTTCTCTGGGAAACGAGGTCAGCCAAAGGGAGGAGAGGGGGAAAGCATCTGCCTTGGAGGGAGATCACATAGCACAGTGATGGGAAAAGACCAGGCTTTTAAAGAATAATGAGCAGAGGAAAGAGACAGCCTCGTGAAGCCCATGCACGTATGAAGATTCCTGGTTCCCAAGGACCAGAATGGCTGGGGGGGAAGGGAGGGAAGGCAGAGACGCAAGCCAAGAATCAAATAAGGTCTCAGAGGTAGCCCACCAGGGTGAGAGAGTGGTAGAGTTGAGGGGTCCCGGGTGTCCTGGGGAATCTTGCCACCCCATAGGCAAGTAACAGAGACAAGAGACCTCGCTGTGCTACGGAAATGCAGAATCTCAGACCTCTCTTTCCAAATCAGAAGCTACATTTTAGCAAAATCCCCCAAGTTTCAGGTGCACAGTGAAACATAGGAAGCTCTAGAGACTAGGAGGGCGTTTTGCAGAAACCAAAGCCCAAAAGTGACTGTATCTGCAGATCACACCATCAGGAGCAGAGCAGGGCCTGCTTGTCACTCCTATCTCTTAGGTCTTTGCCAGCAGTTCCACTCTTCTGTGTAAATCCCTAAGGCCACCACAAGGTACATTCACAGCAGAAGTATCAGCTTACCAAGGCTGTGTTTACCTGGCTGCAGAATCATAGCGGCGTTTCGCCATGGTCTGGGGGTAACCTACATAGGTGGGTATAGACACCCAGCCTTGAGAGGCCACTTGGGAAAAGCTTGTCTCTTGGGCCCTTGGCTGACTTAGGCCCACTACCTGCTCTTTGCGGACTACATTCACAGGAATTCAATACCTGCCATATTTGACTTTTTCCTGGTTGATGCAAGAATCTCAAGGACAGAGCGTCTGTGTCCTGGCATAGGAAGGAGGTGCGGTGACTGGGCAGGAGGTAGGAGGGGAACCTGTAACTACTAGAGTTCACACTGAGGAGAGAGGCCAGATGTGGAATGCATCTGCCCTGGCCAGCGGAGGCCTAAGGGCCCTTCAGAGACAGCCTAGCCAGGGCCGGGGTGAATGGCACAGTCACCAGGCAGCAGAGGTCACACAGACAGCGGGAAGCGGGGGGAGGTGAAAGAGGGGAGGAAATCTCAGAAATCACTGGAATGAAAGAACCATCTGAAAAGGAGATTAGCTCAGCTGACTTAAGCCACTGGCCTGAGCCCAGGGGGGAATATCCTCAGAGCGTGGGTGGTACTTGAAACGGACCAGTAGCCAGAGGCAAATGGAAAACTGAGAAAGCCAGACAAGGTGAGAGGCAAAGTCAGGATAAATGTTAACTACCAAGTTTGAACAGCTTATCAAGCCTCGGGGACAGCCATTATTCACAGAGGACAAAAGGGTCCATTCTCATCACCTTACTTA